ATTATTTACACAACTACTATACAGCAGATATGCTGGTGTATTTCCAAATGTAATATAATTATCGGCCCAACTTCTGATAAAATAAAACAAAATACTCATTAAGTGAAAAAAAATTTTAATACAATTTATGTCAATGAAATAATACTAAAGTAACATTTTACAATAATAACATTTCAAATCTTAGGACCCATCTGAAAATATTTCGACTTTATATAAAAAAAAACAATAACATTTATCGCAGTATATAAACGAAGATTATGCTATTTTGAGTATTTAAATAAGCGTCGAATTCGAATAACCTGAAAAGTACATTTTGACGTGAAAAATATTTGAAAGTAATTAAGTATACACTTTAACTCTATTACATAATTAAAATACATGATTTTTTTTCCATTAGTGCCATTATAGCTCTGATTACAGAAATTTACTTTGAAGATGCTGTTTAGCAAAGTATGCAAATGGTCATCAAAACAGAAACATGCGCTGTTTAACAATCCCGCACGAGTTGAGCAATAAATTGAACATCGGATATATCAATTTTCATGTAAACAAAAAAGTAAAAATTATGGTGGTTAAAAAAAAACACGAAAAATGTACTGAATTGCGTACGCACCTGTATTTTTTTTTTATATATATTCTAGGCAAACTTAAATCGTATAATATTACATAAACAAATAAAAATGTATAAGTGTATGCTATATTTTATTTTTACTTTCTCGTATATACGAAGTATAGAGAAAGTCTTGTAATCGTGCAAATAAAATCGAGACTTTTACAAATCTCGACGTTTTACATCTCACTGATACGAAAAAAACATAATTTTGCAATCTTGTCCGTATGTCTGTGTGTCTGTCTGTGTGTCTGTCTGTGTGTGTGTGTGTGTGTAAACACGATAACTTGAGTACCGTTACAGCTAGGTTGATGCAATTTCATATATAAGTATTTTATCAAAATCGTAGATCCGTATCAACTTTAGAGCGATTTCCAATAACCGGAAGTGGTACTTTTCCTACTTTGAAATTTTCGAAAACCTATAACTTGAGTACTATTTGAGATAAATAAACGAAATTTCACATGTAAGTAAAAGATCTAATTTTCTACCTTCTGTTATATTTTGAGTCATTTCCGTTGACCGGAAGTAGTAATTTACGCTACTTCCGATTTCTCAAAAAACTAATATAAATTTTTAAAGTACTAATAATATTGCGCACTATTATGCACTTTTTTATTTAGCGTTCACTTGGTGTGCAATTCTTTTGTCTACGAGATTTTATTCTATTTTTAAAACTTTAAGTAATTAAAATGGATTAAAAATCATGTCTATAGCCCGAGTTCCCATCCCCTGTTATTTTATATAAAAATATTCGAGAAAGTTTAGGGGAGATCACTCCGGGTTCATTTAAAAATATAACATTGTAAAACAAAATAGGATACAACACTAGTAATACTCACATGATATTTTGTATGAAATTAAACAGCAGAAGGTAATTGTTTTGAAACAAACAATCCGTTACCGCTCTATTCATTTGTATCTAGCCAATGTACTAAAGGTAGTTATAACTTATTTAATTGTAATTAAGCTAAGCTTACCGACCTTGCATCAAACAACAGCTATGTGTTTGAACTTTATTGGTGTCTGTCATGGGGTAACAACTTTAGTTTTTTCTATCTAGCAGTCAACATGAATTAAGAAAATTGATAAATAGCAATCAACATGACATCAGAAAATTAATGAATAGCAGTCAACATGACATTGGAAAATTGAGGTGGTTTATTTAGTTGATAAATCTAGTAAGGCATTCGTCTAATTTTTACGTATAGAGTGGTGTGTGGCGTATACATCTAGCTGGTGTGGTGTGTGTTGAATACATCTAGCTAGTATGGTGTGTGTTCTATACATCTATCTAGTATATTATGTGTGCTGTATATATCTAGCTAGTGTGTTGTGTGTTGTATACATCTAGCTAGTGTGGAGTGTGTTGTATATATCAAGCTAGTGTGGTGTGCTTGTATGCATCTAGCTAGTGTGTTGTGTGTTGTATACATCTAGCTAGTGTGGTGTGTGTTGTATACATCTAGCTAGTGTGCTGTGTGTTGTATACATCTATCTAATGTGGTGTGTGTTGTATACATCTAACTAGCGTCGTGTGTGTTCTATACAGCTAGCTAGTATGGTGTGTGTTGTATACATCTGGTTAGTGTGGTGTGTGTTGTATACAGTTAGCTAGTGTGGTGTGTTGTATACATCTAGCTAGTGTGGTGTGTGGTGTATACATCTAGCTAGTGTGGTGTGTGTTGTATACATCTAACTAGTGTGGTGTGTGTTGTATACATCTAGCTAGTGTGGTGTGTGTTGTATACATCTAGCTAGTGTGGTGTGTGTGTGTTGTATACATCTAGCTAGTGTGTTGTGTGTTGTATACATCTAGCTAATGTGGTGTGTTTTGTATACATCTAGCTAGTGTGCTGTGTGTTGTATACATCTATCTAGTGTGGTGTGTGTTGTATACATCTAACTAGCGTCGTGTGTGTTCTATACAGCTAGCTAGTGTGGTGTGTGTTGTATACATCTTGTTAGTGTGGTGTGTGTTGTATACAGTTAGCTAGTGTGGTGTGTTGTATACATCTAGATAGTGTGGTGTGTGGTGTATACATCTAGCTAGTGTGGTGTGTGTTGTATACATCTAACTAGTGTGGTGTGTTGTATACATCTAGCTAGTGTGGTGTGTGTTGTATACATCTAGCTAGTGTGGTGTGTGTGTGTTGTATACGTCTAGCTAGTGTGCTGTGTGTTGTATACAAATAGCTAGTGTGGTGTGTGTTGTATACATCTAGCTAGTGTGGTGTGCTTGTATACATCTAGCTAGTGTGGTGTGTGTTGTATACATCTATCTAGTGTGGTGTGTGTGTTGTATACATCTATCTAGTGTGGTGTGTGTGTTGTATACATCTAGCTAGTGTGGTGTGTGTTGTATACATCTAGCTAGTGTAATGTGTGTTGTATACCTCTAGCTAGTGTGGTTTGTGTTGTATACATCTAGCTAGTGTGGTGTGTTTGTATACATCTAGCTAGTGCGGTGTGTGTTGTATAGATCTAGCTTGTGTGTTGTATACATCTAGTTAGTGTGGTGTGTGTTGTATACATCTAGCTAGTGTGGTGTTCTTTTCTATACATATAGCTTGAGTTGAGAGTGTTGTATATATCAAGCTAGTGTGATGTGTGGTGTATACATCTAGCTAGTGTGGTGTGTGTTGTATATAGCTAGCTAGTGTGGTGTGTGTTGTATACATCTAGCTAGTGTGGTGTGTGTTGTATACATCTAGCTAGTGTGGTGTGTGTTGTATACATCTAACTAGCGTCGTGTGTGTTCTATATAGCTAGCTAGTGTGGTGTGTGATGTATACATCTAACTAGCGTCGTGTGTGTTCTATATAGCTAGCTAGTGTGGTGTGTGTTGTATACATCTGGTTAGTGTGGTGTGTGTTGTATACAGTTAGCTAGTGTGGTGTGTTGTATACATCTAGCTAGTGTGGTGTGTGGTGTATACATCTAGCTAGTGTGGTGTGTGTTGTATACATCTAACTAGTGTGGTGTGTTGTATACATCTAGCTAGTGTGGTGTGTGTTGTATACATCTAGCTAGTGTGGTGTGTGTGTGTTGTATACATCTAGCTAATGTGGTGTGTTGTATACATCTAGCTAGTGTGATGTGTGTTGTATATATCTAGCTAGTGTGGTGTGTGTTGTATACATCTAGCTAGTGTGGTGTGTGTTGTATACTTCTAGCTAGAGTTGTGTGTGTGTTGTATACATCTAGCTAGTTGGGTGTGTTGTATACATCTATCTTGTGGTGTGTGTGTGTGTTGTATATGTCTAGCTAGTGTGTTGTGTGTTGTATACATCTATCTAGTGTGGTGTGTGTTGTATACATCTAGCTAGTGTGGTGTGGTGTGTGTTGTATACATCTAGCTAGTGTGGTATGTGTTGTATACATATAGCTAGTGTGGTATGTGTTGTATACATCTAGCTAGTGTGGTGTGTGTTGTATACATCTAGCTAGTGTGGTGTGTGTTGTATACATCTAGCTAGTGTGGTGTGTGTTGTATACATCTAGCTAGTGTGGTGTGTGTTGTATACATCTATCTAGTTTGGTGTCTGTTGTATACATCTAGCTAGTGTGGTGTGCTGTATATATCTAGCTAGTGTGGTTTGTGCTTGATACGTGTCAACTGGTTATGCACCATTGAGGCCATTGACTCCGATTTCAGCTTACGAGCCTCATGTGCCCGAGGCTTCGAACTTGAGACTTTTCGGTTTAGCAACCAAGAGCTCTACCGACTCACTATCTAGCTAGTGTGATGTCTGCTTTTTACGTCTAGCCAGTTTTTTTTTTTGTCAGCTTGACAAATCTGTCCAGCGTGGTGTCTGCTTGTTATGGTGGCTAATATGTGGACTGTATGGTCGACACAAATTTCTTAGCTGTGCTAAACATAAAAGCGTTAATCACGTCATGAATGATCTTTTTTTTTACATGATGCACATACACATTACATTAGAACGTCGGAATTTAGTCTTTAGACAGATCAAGAAGATTTAACCTATTTCAATGACCACGGCCTTCTTGAGGATAGTAATCAGAATTCCACCCTGTCGTATGTTTTTCTCTTACGTAATTCACGTACTCGCCAGAGCTGGGTAGGCTTAGGGATGTCCTACAGACTAGAGCCCGGGATCCGAACTCGTGACTTTCGGTTTACCAGACGTTAGCTCTACCATTCGACCACTCCTTCCAGTAAAATGGTATTGCCTATAAAGAAACAAAATAAAATCGTAAGCAAGTAATAATATCATGTTCATTAAACTATTCTTAAGGCAGAAATATCCCAGGGTCAACCCAGTCTTTCTCTTTTCATACTCACAACACGAATATCCAAAAACTTGCTTGGTTGAAAAGTAATAGACGCACTAGCACCATTAGTGAACCATTTGACATGACTTTTGGTGCGTCTTGTTTATCATGACAACAGCTTCTTGTGAAGACCGGACGACCCGCGTTTAAGTAAGGCTGTAATTTTGGTATACCTTAAAACATTGTTGTTTACTCATACCTGAAATGTAGTGGGTGTTATTGTATAGATCTATGCTTTTTATTTTCATTATTTTTATATCCCCTAAACTTTCTCGGTCTAGAATGATCAGATAAATAGATCTATAACTATTCTAGATTCTATGTCGGTAATATCACGATATAAAGTCGGAAATTATCCGGTAATGTTTCTTGAGTTTCGTACACTTTTGTTACTGTAAACCCATTGTTTATTTGACCGTTGATATATAAATATAAATAAAGTCGAGTGTATTAAATTAATATTGTAACTTAACTTTACGGTTAATTGACAGAAAATTAGCAGCAATTAATAGACCTAGATCTAAATATTAATAATAAACTCTAGTGTAGTAATTAATTTTTTTTTAAAGAAACACAGAAACAAAATGTAACCCTCACTCAGTGGAGATGCTTTTACCCACTGAGGTGTTGTGGTTAAGACGGACTGACTCTGAGATTTAGGACACACTGACACTGACAGTTGTTGTCAAGTACTGGCTTTATTCACTACATCGAGCCATACACGGCGATGTAGAATAACAGTAGACACGACTTATAGGTGAATAATGAAACAAAACAAAAAACTGTAGCCCTAAAACAAATGTAAACAAAAGGTGACATCAATGATAATACCACGTGTAGGCTACAAACATACACGGGTACAATAAAATATGTTTCGGCCAGTACACAGTACTGCCAACAAGTACCAATAAGTAATACAACAATAAATACTTAAATAAATACTCAACCTAACTAGTGTGCAACATGCAGCACTAGCAGGAATACACAAATAAGTATTCTAACAATAAACATAATTTATATAACCACATTACCTTCATTAGGGGGTCTATATTGTTATTTCCACCTCTAGGTACCGTCACCCTCCGTGCCCACAGACAGCAGCCTTGGGTTTGACTGTCACGGCTAGGCACGAACTACCCATAATCCCATGTCACATGACATGGGACACAGGTAAAATCGCTCACTGAAGAGCATGCAAAAAAACATCAGTTGCGATCCCACAGGGGCCGCAATCCAATAAATTATAAAGTTATACTTATCCCGCCTTGGCTGGTAACCATATGTGTTACAAAAAAGTACGAGATTGGCGACAACTAGATCTAGATCTAGGCCTAATAATATAAATTAATTGGATCTACTAAAGTAGCAAGAATGACTAGAACAATATTTAGTAGCAGCAATAATAAGCACATACGCTTAAAATAATTAGAAATACAAAATAATTGGGAAAACAGTATTTAAAATGCAATAAAAATCAATATATTCATTTTTTAAACACCATGTATTACAAAAATAAATAAATAAAGCGTCAAATAAAATACGGTTTACAGTACTTCCCGTGGTTTCCGGTACGGCGTGACAGTCTTCGGCGTGGTTTTACTGTTTTTTACTGCTGTACCATTTCGGAATAATAACCGACGCTATATCGTGAGTTTACCTCTATGTCTTTCAATGTTTTCTTGGTCTTATTAACCCAAATGTTAGAAATTGCAAAAGTATTATTGTAGTTTGTGAGCGACGTGGTTTTCATTTAGACTGATCATTATCCAAGCGTTGTTGACATAAAACTGGGTCCTATTTTGTGTTAAGGCTATTGCTAGCTTTAAACAGTTATATAAACTGAGATTCTGTGGACTGTACAAAGTAACGTTACACAATGAAGCAGGAGGAGACGAAGTAAAGGCCCGATGTTCCATAGGTCATGTGAAGTAGAGTTCACCTGTTTATGTGAACTCTGCATATTTAGAGCTTCTGTGATCAGCACTATGCCCAGCCGCCTTTACTTTCCCTAACTTTAGTCAGATACCAATCAGAGCTGGGTGGACTCAAACATGTCGTATGGAACTGAAGCTGAATTCGAAGAGGTAGGGTAAACTTTGGAGTTACATTTTTAGAAGTATTTTGGACATGAGAGGGAGGTTGCGTTCGGGGTTTATAATGCGCACTGTCTACCATAAGACCACGTCGTCCCCGCAAGTAATAAAACAACAACGAACTGATTTATAAAAATATTTTTAAAAATATTTTTATAAAATTAAAAAAGTTTACATACAAACTTCTTTCACGTTCGCAGCGTCATGAACGAACACGAACCCAACGAAGTGGGCGGCGACAATGCCAGACACATCATGGCACACGCGGCGACTCAGAAAACCAGCAGCCACAGCATCCACCCTTTGATGAACAATCAACACAACACGCAAAACCCTCATCACGATCATCTTGCTGCCGAACGCTGTTACAAACACGAATGTCTGAGCAGACACCACCTTTCACTGAGCCATCACCACCTTATATTATCCCAGACACGCTTCAACCCATCTTTGATTCATCAACATCTAGTTTCATGCCGCCGGCACCAAGCTTTAAGCCATTACCATCAAATGTTAAGCACCAACCAGTTACCGTTGGATTACCACAGTCTGAGACTGAATCTCTACCGACTTTCAATGAGTCTCCCCCACATGTCCAACCACCAACAGCTATCAACAAGACGCCTCCCCCATCTCATGTCATTGACCCCCCAACGCCATACGCACATGCAGTCATCGATCCCTCCGCTCATGAGCTCAACAAGCCACCACCACCCACAGCTGTTTAAAGGCCGACCTCAACCAACTTCTTTTAGTCCCAGCCCTATGTCTTTCAAAATACAACCCCAACCCCTAAATTTGAAAAGCCAACCCCGTCCTCTACTTTTGAAAAACAACCCCCGCCTGCTATTCATGATCCCCCGTCCCATAAAGTTGAACCAACTGTGTAAGAGCCCGGACAACCTGTCCCTAAGCCGTCGTCAACACCTCATGATGAGCCGTCAGCTCCTGACCTTGAGGGGTCAGAAACTGTGTATGAGTCTGGACGACCTGTCCCTCAGCCGTCGTCAACAGCTCATGATGAGCCGTCAGCTCCTGACCTTGAGGGGTCAGAAACTGTGTATGAGTCCGGACGACCTGTCCCTCAGCCGTCGTCAACAGCTCATGATGAGCCGTCAGCTCCTGACCTTGAGGGGTCAGAAACTGTGTATGAGTCCGGACGACCTGTCCCTCAGCCGTCGTCAACACCTCATGATGAGCCGCCAGCTCCTAACCTTGAGCGGCCAACAACTGTTGATGACCCCGGACAACCAGTCACTCTACCGTTTACAGCTAAAATTGAGCCGAGGCCACATAGCGTCAGCCCACCGCCTCCTGTTGAATCCCCACCTCAAGTACCCCAGCCGACATCGTAACTTTAGCCAACACCCCCACCGTACAACTCTGACAGACACAGAACCGCACGAGAATGATATCTAACCACCTAAACCAAAGATCTCACAATCAAGAGATGGTGAAGCCACATGGTTCTTCTTATGCCGGTTCCATGAGTATTTTTACCTTAACTTAGCAAATGGTTTTAGTCTTCGGGTGGAACTTAATTGACGGGTTGTCTATCTTTCCGTCACGGGTAAAAACTTATTAGCAACATTTTAACAATTTACACTATTCCTTTTTTATGTACATGTGATGTGAAATTAGACTTAGTTTGATAATGACTTTTTAAAATATAAATTACGGTTTAATCATTTGTTTGATAAAAATGAAACTTCTAACAATGACAAAGTGTATGTCATAAATAATCGTTCCTATGTCTTTGTTTACGTGTTGTGTTTTAAATAAATCGCGCGGCAAAAAATCAATAAAAGCTTTTATAACGCTTGTACAAAAATTGTAGAAATAAAAAGACATACCACTATAATCTCTGCTATTTCCCTATTCATTCTTTTTTTACACGATGCATGTTATCAAAAGTATTAAGCAACCTCTAATGCAGGTAATATAAGTATAAACAAAACTTGTAGATCCCCCCCCCCATGCCAGCAAAGGGCCTCCTATTCTAAACTTTTTAGACCTAGCGATCCATTGGGCAGATGAAGTGGGGTTCATATGTTTCTGGACCTCGGCATATAAAGGGATAATATTATGGTCAGCACTATCCACTTTACTTTCCCTAACATGAGTTAGGTACCCATTAGAGTTGGGTGTACGTTCCACCAACTTGAACCCGGATTCAAATTCAAAACTATCGGGTTTGCAGTGTTGCGCTCCATCGCTAGGCCACGCCATCCCACATGTAAAGGGTGAGTTTCTATAGATAGTGCGACTTCATCGGGAGTGAGGGACTGCTGACCTATGTTGTGTGTAAATTTGTGTGAGGGCCTTTTATTTACATATCGTGAGGTTGTGTATGTTACTCTCCCCCCTCCTTCCACCGCATAAGCTTTCACTCAACACCCCATCCATCCCATAACCATCCTTCACACCCATCTCACACACACACCATCCATCCCATAACCATCTTTCACACACCCCTCACACACACACCATCCATGTTAACTCACCCATTTGAACATCTGCTTGGACATGTGTTAACATTAGAGATTCTTAACAAAAGGCGCGGCTACTTCGCCTGAATGTCACAATTCCCCCCCCCCCCCCCCACCTTTGCTACCCCAGTCATTGCGATACACGGACAAAGGACAACACACGGGCAGACACACGGGCAGACAATTGGGCAGACACACACGATCAGACACACACGGGTAGACACACATGAGCAGACACACACGGGCAGACACACACGGGCAGACACACACGGGCAGACACACAGACAGACACACACGGGCAGATACACAATATGACACACACGGGCAGATACACACGGGCAGACACACACAGGCAGACACACACGGGCAGACACATACGAGCAGACACACACGGGCAGACACACACGGGCAGACACACACGGGCAGACCATCAGACAGACAATCGGGCAGACACACGGGCAGACAATCGCGCAGACACACGGGCAGACAATCGGGCAGACACACGCGGGCAGACACACGCGGACAGACACACGGGCAGACAATCGGGTAGACACACACGGGCAGACACACACGGGCAGACACACACGAACAGATACACACGGGCAGACACACACGGGCAGACACACACGGACATACACACGGGCAGACAATCGGGCAGGCACACACGGACAGACACACGGGCAGATAATCGGGCAAACACACACGGGCAGACACACACGGACAGACACACGGGCAGACACACACGGACAGACACACGGGCAGACACACACGGGCAGACAATCGGGCAGACACACACGGGCAGACAATCGGGCAGACACAAACGGGCAGACACACGGGCAGACACACACGGGCAGACACACACGGGCAGACACACACGGGCAGACAATCGGGCAGACACACACGGGCAGACACACACGGACAGACACACGGGCAGACAATCGGGCAGACACACACGGGCAGACACAAACGGATAGACACACACGGGCAAACACACACGGGCAGACACACACGGGCAAGTGTGCTGTATTGGCTTTTGTTCCCACTTAACATATTAAGTGGAACATGCACACTTTTGAAGGCTGGCCATTAAAGAGTGTTTGCGAGGCACCGCTCAAAATCTCTCTTTTTAAAGTTATAATAAAACACTTTTTTTTTCTAATTTTTGTTTTGTTTTTAATTATTAATTTTGGTTCCCATTCAGAGGCGTAGCGACCATTGCCGGCGCCCGGGGACAAACTTTCGATTTGCACCCCCTCCCCACTAGAACTTTCGATTTGCACTGCACCCCTCCCCCCCTCGAACTTTCGATTTGCATCCCCCTCAAACTTTTGATTTGCACCCCCACCCCTCAAACTTTCAATTTGTCTTTCAAACCCATTTTGGCGCCCCCCCCCCTAAGGTCGGCGCCCGGGGACATATGTCCCCCCCCCCCCCGCCCCATCCCCCCTCGCTACGCCTCTGTTCCCATCATCTATGGTTTTTCGTTATATAAACTTCAATTGGGGGGTGTCCAGTGGGTTTATATATCGCGGGGGGGTTTTGTCCACGGTGTTCATAACGCGGGGGGTTTATGACCAGGGGGTTTATGTCGGGGGGGGGGTGTCCAGGGGGGTTTTGTCCAGGGGTTTATGACTGGACACCCTAAAAGACTGAGTTACTCCAATGCAAACTTTTTCAAGTACATCCACTCTGGATTTAGCATTCAGTCTGATCTAGAAGACATACTTCTGATGCAAAGTGGTATTCAAAAAACTGACGAAGAAAAGTTGTCTACTGACCCAGCACCTGGTAAGCCTCATTCACAAATATTGACAGACCTTAAGCGATTAGCCCCAGAATCCACGATGACAATAGTACAGAAAACAATACCAACGCAAGTCAAAGCTCGGCAAGGCGGGATGCGACTTCTTTATGGTGGTTTCATCAATTTCAGAGATAAAATGCAAGAACAGAGTTTCTTCCAGGCATATCATCGGAGGACTGCCCCCCCCCCTCAACCCCCCCCTACACCCCTCCCCCCGTAGAAAGTCTACCGCCCCGCCCCCCCCCCCCCCCTTAACGAAACGGATTTTATATAGAAAACATACTTTTACCAGTGTCCTCCCCCTCACCCCCCGAAAATATCCTGGAGAAAAAAGGAAACACTGTCCAAGAATATGATGTATTTGCGATTTTTACTACGCACTAATTGCAAAGGTAGATTGAAAACAGGAGAAGGGCCTAGATCTAAGCGATATACTTAATAAATGGATGACGAAATAAAATAATGTTTTGCTCATTTTGTTTCTAACTCGTATGTATTTCAATGAATTCATAAATTACATATTTTACAACTGACAAAAAGTCAGCTTTTATACCGCAATCGACCTTGGGATAATAATACATAAACACACCGATGTTAACAATACTATAGGGTAAACGCAACTCACACACACACTTTCCTCTAATTCTAGATTATTCTATCCTATTTCCATCTAACCTACAACTGACCCGTAACACCCTCTCCTCCCCCCCCCCCCCCCCCGCCCCTACGAGTTTGACATCTTTTATGGACGACCCCTTATACAACGTTGAAAGCAAAACCAACCCATACTTTAAATTTACTAAAAATTGCTTATAATCAAAACCATAACTAACCTAACTTTTCATCCAAAGCATAATCTAACACAACTCCAAGCTAATATATGAACGCGTATGATTATAATAAACATAGATCTAACATAGAACATCGCAATGTAATCTCAACATATAAATTAAACTAAATTAAACTAAACTAAACTGAACTAAACTTAACTAAATTAAATAAAACTAGAATATGTAATCTATAGTAATTTATAGATTGCCTCTAACATACGATTAGATTAATTGTAACTCTAAGCGAATCCTAACCTTAACACAACACCAACAGAGATTTTAACTGTAATATAATAACTTCAAATTAGGATTTCCCCACCCCTCACGCTAGAAGTGCGACATCCAGTGGCATAGCTAGGATTTTTGGGCTCCTATGCAAAAATTGTAAGTGGGCCCCTTAGTCAGACGTTAGGCTACAACGAAGTTCAAAAAAGAAATCAACTGCTACTCACGATGAAGGGTTTTAATTAATATAAATATTCTGTACTTTTTGTATTGTATACGTACTGATACTATATTATTATGTAGGCCTACAACCGCTTAGCTTTAAAAATGTTACAGGCTTAAAGATAATTTGTTTGTTTTTTAATGTGACTAAACACAGTAGCGTGACAAGGTGGGGGTAGAGGTGTGGTCCGCATCTAATGACAACATTTAGGCATGACACAATGACAAAACAATGAAAAATTTACTTTCAATAAACGATGCACAATTCTAAGGGGTCGTGAGGTGACACCTTTAGTAAAAGCACATGGTGACACCTAACCTTGAGACGCCTCTCACCAAACACATTTTTAAAAATTGCTCATGAGATTTTTTTTATCTTGTTTTTTTTTACTTTCTCATATACACGAAGTATGGAGAAAGTCTTGTAATCGTGCACAAAAAAATCGAGTTTTACAAATCTCGACGTTTTACACCTCACTGATACGGAAAAACATAATTTTGCAATCTTGTCTGTATGTGTGTGTGTGTGTGTGTGTCTGTGTGTGTAAACACGATAACTTGAGTCCCGTTACAGCTATGTTGATGAAATTTCATATATAAGTATTTTATCAAAATCGTACATCCGTATCAATTTTTGAGCGATTTCCGATAACCGGAAGTGGTACTTTTTCTACTTTGAATTTTTCAAAAGCCTATAACGTGAGTGCTGTTTCAGATAGATAAATGAAATTTCACATGTAAGTAAAAGATCTAATTCTCTACCTCCTGTCAAATTTTGAGTAATTTCCGTTGATTGGAAGTACTAATTTACGCTATTTCCGATTCCTCAAAAAACGCATGTAAATTTATAAAGTACTAATAATATTGCGCACTACTATGCACACATTTCATTTGGCGTTCGCTTGGTGTGCAATTCTTTTTTCTACGAGATTTTGTTCTATTTTAAAAATTTTTAGTATTTAAAATGGAGTTCCCATCCCCTGTTTTTACTTTCTCGTATATACGAAGTATAGAGAAAGTATTGTAATCGTGCACAAAAATCACTTGAAATTTTAACAATTTTCACCGTATTACACCTCAGTCATTCATCACATCCGAAGTATAGAGGACTTATTTTAATCGGGCAAAAATTA